ACAGACAGCATAACAGCAGTCATTTCTAAAGAGAGTGACAACCATTCACTCTCACCCACACCTGAACACCCACAAGCGCATGCGCACACACATATACCCCACACCCATTATTGTCGCCCTTCCCAGTCAGGGCCACACATGGGTTCACAGCTTATCTCTGAACGTTTGGAAAGCGTTACCTGGTTTGAACTTATTGAGTAAATATGAAACTGGCTGCTGACGTGTCCCACTGGAAGCCTAGCAGTATCCCAGCTGGGGAGGAGGTGTGAAAGCCCCCCACAGGCAACGCCCTGCACGGAAGGTGACGGCTGACTAGGGATGAGGGGGGAAGGGTGGTGGGCAGAGGGGGCTCTTTCCCCTCAACAGAAGGCACCATGGGAGCGCACCCTCACATTTCTTATGTTCTTCCTGTCATTAGCTCCGCAGGGACTAGGGAAATTCAGAGCGAGCAAAATTAAAAACAAGACGAGGGAGACAGAAGAAGCTTGGGAGTTGCCAAGAACTCTCCCCAATCTCTGAGGCCTTGGGTTCTGGGGACTTGGCCAAGGGGCTTCACATCCTTGTTTTATCTGCACTCAACTGCCCATCCCAGCCCAAAATGAGAAAACGCTATGCTGCACTTCAGAATAGTTTCATTTGCTGCAATCCAATAGATTGAGTCACCAAATACCTTAATTCATTTACTCATTTATTTTAAGCACCTATTCAAAGGATAGGCATTTTGCTAAAGCAGAGTGCCTGGAATTGCTCCCAGGGTGGCTGAGTGGCAGGCGGGGGTGATGGGAACAAGTAGTTACAAGAAGTAGGAACAGAGGAATAGTATCGTCAGTGCCCAAGGGGTCAGCCAGTGGCTTGTGATCAGAGTCCATGGGGTGGACCAAGAGAGCACAGAGCGGCACTGCAGGCCGACAGGACACTGCACATTCTCGGGGAGGCACAACCCTGCAGGTCTGCGGGCTCAGGGAGCAACACATCCCAGCCTGGCCAGCACTGAGGGCCCAGGGAGGCCTGACAGGAGACAGATGATGAAGGGCCTGGCCTCTATTCCACAGGCAATGGGGCGCCCCAGATGGAATTTAAGCAAAGGAGAGGCACGTCCTGATGTGTGTTTTGGAAAGGCAGTCCGTTTTGGAAAGAGGCAGTGAGGAAAATAAACTCAGAATAGGGGAGACATAAAGCATGCAGGTTTCTCCCCATCACATATAAAGGACTATTTCTGTTCTGATTAACGGTGCAATCCTAAAAAGTCAATATTAATAGTCAAGCCCTATGCAGCATTTAGTGCATCCAAGTCATTTCATCTTTTCAACAGTCCTCTGTAAAATGGGGATAATAATTCCTATCGATTGAGTTATTGTGAAGACAAAAGAAGTGATGACACAATTTTGTATGTAAGGCTCATAGCTCAGCGTCTGGCATGTGGTCAATTCTCAGAAATGGTTCTTTACTAGCTTGCATCAGCTCCAACCTTCCTCCTTTGAGATTCTGCATCAGCCTCTGTGTTGTAAGGTACTTACTCAAGGACTTTTCTTTCACCATCAAAGACTTTTGGGGTGGGGGTGGGGGCGGGGAGGAGGAAGGGTCTTGGAGTGATTCTGACTCAGCATCATTCAGGTCTAGAAGCCTAAGGTTTCTGAAACGCTGGTCTCCAGGGAGCGAAGATTGGGGTGGTTTTTTTTGGTCGTCTTTACCCAAGTGACCCTGTTCTTTCAAATGCCTGTTATACCTCTGAAGGCAATGTTTCATCTATTTTTATTAATTTGTGAGCAGAAATAATAAATACACATCAAACTATAAAAACTCAGAAAGTTTCAGTTTAAAGCTGAGATCAAGTTTAAAAAAAAACACAGTGCAGTTACTGTGATGCTCAATGACAGAAATTATTACTGTGATCTCTGTTAATTAGACATAAATGCTATTTCATTCCCGTAAATAACAGTAATGACTGGGTAGGGCTGGACATGTCTCAGAGATGGCTCTGCAGACTGGTCAGGTGGTCCCGCTGGATGTCTAGAAGGAAGGGATCAGGATGAGGACAGCAGGAGCTCTGAGAGCTTCAGATATAGAAGTCTTTAGGAAAAGACAGGGCCAGAGCGCTTCCCTTCAAAGCCTGTTTATACGCAGTCCTCAGCCTGAGGCCAACATTTGGGATCCTTCAGTCCCTGTCAAGAAAGGACATGTCACCCAGCACTGAGGGACTGGATGGGGACCCCCATGTTTTCCAGCCCCTAGTCCAAGGACGTCTGCATGCTTCCTGCCCCTCTTCCAACTCTTGGATCTAAATGGAGCAGTGCACCAGCCATGGGGTAAAGATGGCTGACCAGGGCGTGCTCTGCGTGGGGCTGGAGCACAGCACTGCAGCTTGCTCTGGGTGGGCCTGGGCCTTTCTCTGGCGTGGTGTCAGAGGACACTTTTCTCCCCTAGCTACTCTTTGGTAGGTCTCACTCTTAGTCCTATTCAGTGCTGTTGCCTTTCATTAACATTTGTGGCAAGCCTGGGTTTGCTTTTCAACTTGATGTGGCCAACAGTGGCTTTCTAGAGCTCTATCCGAGGCAGACACTCGTGTCCGTGAGTGACAGCTCTCTTGGCCACAAGTCAGCCAGGCAGAGATATTAATTTGAATTCTGGGCTTCCAATCAAATATTCAGAAATGGACACTTCACCCTTTGAAAGTTGCAAAGTAAACAGAACCTCAGCTTGGGAAGCAAATGTATTTCAGATTATTTAAACTGAAATTCTAAAGTGGATGGGAGAGTCAGTGGTTCCAACAACTTCAATGAGCGAATTTCAGGCAAAAGCACAGAGAACAAGTATGATAGAATATCAAAGTTGTCCTCATAACACCAAACTCCCCTTAATCTGCTCACATCTTGGGAATGTTTGTCTCGTCTTTTAGCGATTATCATCTTTAAACTGTGTTGCCCTACAGTTTGAGTGGTTTTCATCAATTAGTAAAAACCCATACCCATGTCCTTATAAGTGTTTGTTTTTCTTTCATATCATCAGTTCAGAGACACTTAATGCAACACCAAGAAAACATGCTCGCCCAATGGCAAAAAGCCACATTTCATCTTCCTTCCAAGTCATTTCACCACTCTGTATTTACATTTCTGGCTCTGTGTTAACTATGTTTTAATCAAAGTGTCCTTTAAAACTCTGCTACACAAAGTACAGACCAGCAGCATCTGCGTCACTTGGGCGCTTGTCAGGAACTCAGACTCTTCGGCCATTCCCCAGACTTATCCAATTAGACTCTGCAATCCCCTGGTGAGTCATGCTATAGTGAGAGAACCCACCTCAGAAGATGATGTGAATCTCATGAATCTATAATCTACAAAAAAAAAAAGAGCAAATACTTCCACATTAAAAACTCAAATACTACAGGACATACGTGGGCATAAACAATCATAATGATGCGTGCCAACGTGCGTGCCGTGTGTAGACCTGTTACAAGGGCCTTACACGTGTTAGCTCATGATTCACTACAAGACAGGAGGTAGGTACTTCTCCCATGCTGTACGGGAAGTACAAAGGCCCAGAGAGCTGATCAAGCTTGGACAAGACCAGATAGTAAATCGGTGGGAGAGGCAGGATTTGAACCCAGGCAATCTAACTTCAGAGGGAATGTTTTAACCATTACACTCTACCACCCCCCAGCAGTGTACAGCTGCATTCAGGAAATAAAAAGTTTATCCAGGACCTGAAAGAAAAAGCTAGGTTGCTTAAAGACCATTATTTCAAGCTCAGTAACATTTAGAAGCAGAGACCAGTTGAGCTGGACACCACAAAACTCTAACAGAACTCCCTCAGGTGTTATCTGAGGACAGCGGGACTCAGCGGGGATGTGCGACACCCAATGGTTTTTCCAAAGAAGTGGAAACTTGGAGGTCAGGCAGGTCTCCGCCTGCTCTGGACTTCCGACCATGTCCTTTGCCTCTTGAATGCCACCTCCTAATTTTTTGGGGGTTTTGCTCTTCCAAAGACACTTCACACACACATCAAATGATATCAAATGTCAGCTTTCTCCTTTCTTAATGTCCTATCAAAATCTGAGAATATCCATGGTGCTTTGATAAGTTATTTTGTATCCTATTTGAAATCTCATAAAAAAAAAAGGCTGGAAGGGGAAGGTTGTGATTATAAATCACACTTGAATAGCTCTAGTACTAAACACTTGGCAATTTACATTCAAAATATGACGGGGAACTTTCAGATGTGATAGCCAAAACACTCCTTTGATGAAAATCAGTCCTGCCAGCTCTTGAGCATTAATTAAGATAGAATCTCAGTCTGGGCTCCAAAGAGTCATTTACCTGCTCGAGTCTCAGCTCCACTGTTACATTTCTAGATGAAAGGAGGCTGGAAGTCCAAGCCCAAGTTCATATGGCTATGGGATTTCTGCCATCTCATCTAAGATGCCTATTTTTAACCAAATGACACTTTCTATCAAAGGTTAGTGTCCCATAAGAATTCTCTCAAACCCAGAACACCTGCAGAATGCCAGTGGGGGCAGTTTCTGGAACAGACTTCAAAAGTCCAAGGAGGCTGAAAACTCCCTGTTTAAAGTACAGCTTCTGCTGTAAAAGGCACCAGACGACTTCCATTTGGAAGCCTGTCCTATCTGGTAGAAAGCAAGATAAACTATGCCATGCCCTCAAAACCCACCCTGATGATGCCGACCACTTCTGGACCCATCCACAGTGGCCTTTCCATAGCCTCCACTTAGAGTTAAGAAAGGAGTTCCTGACCCAGTGAGCAAAGATCGCTGTGTCCCTTTGGAAGCACGTGGTGTAGACATAAATCACTTAATAATTGAAATGCCAGCGCGAGACACGGCAACTCCCAGAGAAGGAAAACACAGAGCGGGCGCAGTTGCCAGACCTCACGGTCCAGGCGGCTGGGGGCAGGTAGCAGGCCACCGCCAGGCACGCAGAGCATCGGCCATCAGGGCTCAGACACTCCGAGAATCCATCCCAGCTGCCCCAGTCACGAGCACCTACCTTGCACTGCCCAGACACGCAGATGGCCGTGCCGTTCTGGCCGCAGGGGGTGCCGTCAATGACCTTCTCCGCTTGCCGGACGTAGAAGCGGTACCCCACTGCCTGGCAGTTCAGCTCACACTTCCGATTGCCCTTTACTACCCAAAACAAAACAAAAACAAAAACAAACAAACTGTTAGCATCTTTTTCTTCCTGTATTTTTATTAACATAAAGGTCACATAATACAAAATTAACCATTTTAACCAAAGTGTACAATTCAGTGTTTTTTAGTATATTCACAATGTTGTATAACCATTACCACTAATTCCAGAGCATTTCCATTGCCCCCAAATGAAGCCCTGGACCTGTTAGCTATCCCTCCCAATTTCCCTCCCCCACCCCTTTTTGGTAACCACCAATCTACTTTCTGTCTCCGTGGGTTTGCCTATTCTGGACATTTTATCACCACATGCTTTTTAAGACTGCATGAACATGATTATCTGTCTCCATATTTAACGGTAGAGGGAAGGGACTGTATGTAGCCTGATCGACTGGCATATGTAGAGATTCAATGCTGAGTATTATAAAGGAATTCTTAAAGAATCTCACAATGCAAATAATACTCTACTTTCAGACATCTTCCCATACTTTGCCATAGTCATAATTATATTTTATGTATCAGAAATCACAGTGAGCACACAGTTTTAATGATCTGCCTTTTAAAAAAAAACTTAAAAACTATTCGGTTATATCATCTTTATGCTCTTTTAAATGGCTGGAGATTCCTGTGATAATTCCTCCATTATGAGATATTTCAGTGGTTTCCCCATCACCTTAGGTTGAAATCCAAACTCTTAAACAAGGGATAACATATCTTTCAAGAGCTGAACCTCGCTTGCCTTTATAGTCTCATTTCCTACCATTTTCCTAAGTCTAGATTCTCTACCAAACTAAACACTTCCTCTGTCCAGCCATTGCTTAACTGGTTAGCATCTGTTTCTACTTTGTTCTAGTTCCCAGGTCACCTCTTCCAGGAAGCCCTCCATGGATCCTGATCTCACCTATATATCCACCCATCGCAGGCTTATCTGGCCTTCTCTACTATAGGGTTAACCAAGCTGCACTGAAACATGGTCTTGAGGGACCATAGGGAGGTACGTGTCTGACTTATTCACTTTTGTATCCCCAGCATTCAGTACAAAGCTGTACACATAGGAAATGCTCAACAAATCCCCAAGGAATAAAAAAAAAGGGATGGATAAATGAATATTGGCACTTTTTTTGGTTGGCCTTTCTCTCCCTTCTCCCCACTCAGAATATTTCTCTATATTTCTATCACTTCACAGAGAGCCTGGCACACAGGTGCTCAATAAATGCTAAATTAATCACCACTACAACTATTATCTCCAGAGCAATTTAGTAGCCTTCAAAATAAGAATGAGAAACATTTCCAGGCAAGATATATTTCCATATCTAAAAGAGACAGACAAGCCAAGTACACGCTGGTTTTTTTCAACTGTTTTTGGAGAGAAGACTAATGCTATGCTCAGCCATAGACAGCATGCTCCAAGGTCATGCCTTTGTCTGAAAATCTGATTCCTGGATTGGATAATACTGACTTTTTCCTACACAAGACAATACATCATATTTTCCCCAGTGTGGCTGCCTGACTGTCATAGCAATGAACTTCCTTCTCCTCCAAAGCCATTGAAAACTGCTACCAGGAAATAATATGGAGCCCTGGGACCACGTGGTTTAGGAAAGACTGAATCTTCTATATATCCTGAGCTGTCTCTTACAAGTCAAGAGACTTGGTTTCTTACCCTGCCTGCCCAAAAGATATAAGAGGTGATCTTGGGAAAAAAAATTAAAGAATACCAAAGATGAAAACACCTTTGGGAATCATCTAAAACTAAACCATCATTATATAGATTAACACACACACACACACACACACACACACACACACACACACGGCCAAAAAAATGACGTGGTAGGACAGAGGTAAAACTAGTTTCCTACAACTTGCTTTCTCATGTCATCTATCTATCTATCTAGACGCTGTTTCCTCTCTTCCCAGCTCCTCACTTTCTGAAGTGACAGCAGGAAGTATCCAGGTGCCTTGCATCTTAAGTAATAAGAGTGTCTGAAAGGCAGCCTCGTATGGGGCAAGAGTTTTGAGTTCTCACTTCTCTTGGCTTCCTCCCAACCATCTCTATTCTTTGCAACCACTATTTTATTTCTCAATATCTGTAATCACCCTACCAAAGAACATTCTGAGAGCCAAAAAACATGGCCAAACCTGAGATAATTATGGCAGAATCTCCAAATGGCTACATGAAAATAACCCAGAGGAATGGCCTTAAATCTGGGCTCTTCCTACCTGTGCCCAAACCAGCCACTAGCTCTGACCCTCTGACTACGTGGCTTTGACAGTGTCCCTGCCTTCTCAGACTTGAAACGAGGCAAAAGGGGGATCTCAGCAGATAACTGAAACCTGTGGACAAGAACCTTCCTAACAAAACTGCCTAGATCCTGCTGCCTTAGCAATACTCAGCCTAGTACTTCTCATAAAATTACATAAGAACTGACATCTCTAAACTCTGCACATACTCCCCAACCACTTTAAAATTTCAAATAAAAATACATTTTTATGCGGGGCTTCAGTTTAAGATTTTTCACCAAGAGTCACTTCATTCCTTTTATTTTCCTTGAACAGAATTACAATTCTGATGACAGGAGCTGCTTCTCTAAGCCAGTTTTGTCATGGTTTTATCATGGAGACAACAGAGGAGTGGCCACGAGGTAGGTGCAATCGGATAAGGTAAGTGGGCACATCCTTCTACTTCCTGTTTATCTCCCTATTATTCCTCTCCTTCTCTGTTTTCACCCACTTACTAAATGTCCTCCCCACCCCCAATAGGAACACCTTGACCTTCCACACACTCAGGCAGTGATTCCCCATGTGGATGCAGGACCAGAAGCATCCCCATCACCTGGGAACTTGTTGAAAATGCAAATTCTTGGGCCTTACCTCTAACACCTAAGTCAGAAACTCTGGGGGTGGAGCTGGGCAGCCTGTATTTTAACAAGCCCTCCAGGTGGTTCTGGTGCACAGTGGTTTCCTTGGAACCACTGCTCCAAGGAAAATCAAGAGTGAACAATTCCATTGATTCCATTCCCACACTCTACTCCATGTCCCGAGACTATATGTATATATAATTATAGTTGACATACAATATTATTCAACATCAAAAAACTAAAAAAAAAAAAGGCACAGCCAAAAAGAAAAAAAAGAGTGAACAGACTTGCAGGCAGCTGACAATTCTTATTTTGAATTAAGGGTGTTCAAATTCCATGTCTGAATTTAAATTTAATATAAGCACTATCTTGAATTAAATTTAGGATATTGCCAGGTATTTGGATCCCTGATAGCAAAAAAAATGCCCCCCGATAATTAAAAAAAAAAGTTGGAGAATATAAAAGAAAATTCAGATTAGTTAGAATAAAGCAGTTAGCAGTTAAAGGGTTAACTCTCAAATAAAAGTTAAATATTTAAGCCAAGCATTGAGCTCTGTTCCCTTGGAAAAGCCATTAATATGAGTAAAGACACTTTTGCTTGTGTAAAAAACAAAGAAAATAGGAAAGAAATTAACATTTATAAAATTTTGGAAGGTGGAAAGCAGAAAAGACCCATGGTAATGACTTAGTAAGACCCAAGCAAACTGATCCTAAAATGAAGTAAAGCAAGAAATCTACCTATATCATAGCATTTCCAAATGGTAACTTTGGAAATAAAGAAGAATGAGTCCTATAAACAGAGAAACTGTCTGTAAGGGTGTTTAAGAAGCAGTTAGAGGTTCCACTTTCCAGAATGGTTGGCTAAATCCTCTGAAAATGAACTCTTTTATAAAAGCAATGAGAACACTTGCAAAAGACAACTGAAATATGATTCTAATAATAGACAAAATAGACTTTAAGACAAAAATTATTAAGGACAAATAAAGCACTTTATAATGATAAAGAGTCAATCCATCAGGAAGCCAACAACAGAGGCCCAAAGTACATGAAGCTGAACCTGAGAGAATCTAAAGGAGAACTAGACAATTCAATAATAATAGTTTGAAATGTTGATACCCCACTTTCAATAATGGATGGAACAACTAGACGTAAGATCAACAAGGATACAGGAGACTTGACCAACACTATAAGCCAACTATACCTAATAGACAGCTATAGAGCACACCACTCAACAATAACAGAATTCACATTCTTCTCAAGTGCACTTTCCAGAAAGGAACAAATGTCAGGTCATAAGACAAACCTCACTATATTTTAAAGGACTGAAATCATACAAAGTAGCTTACTGACCACAATGGAATAAAATTAGGAATTAATAACAAAAAGAAATTTGGGGATTTCAAAAATATGTGGAAATTAACATATTTCTAAATAACTGATCAAGGAAAAAAAGCACATGGAAAATTAGAAAATACTTTGAGATTAATAAAAATTAAAAAAAAAACTTATGGGCTACAGTTATAGCAGTGCTTAGAGGGAAAATTATAGTTGTAAACATCTTGTTAAAAAAACATCTCAAATCAACAACCTAATATCCTACCTTAAGAACTGGAAAAAGAAGAGCTAAATATACTAAACCCAAAGCCAACAGAATGAAGGAGATCAGAATGTAAATAAATTAAATAGAGAAGGGGGAGACAATAGAGAAAATCTATGAAACCCAAAGCTGGTTATCTGAAAAGATGAATAAAATTGAGAAACTTTTATATAGACTGACCTAAAATAAGAGAAGGAAGACTCAAAATACTAAAACAAAGAATAAAGAGGCAACATTACTACTGATATTACAGAAGTAAAAAGGACTTCTTTCCCGGGAGATTAGTCAAGAAAAATAGAAGATATACAGATTAAAAAGAAATAAGTAAAACTACCTGCGTTTACAGAGGACATGATCTTGCATTAGAAAATCCAAAAAAAACGCAACAAAAATTACTTCAAGCAAGCTCATCAGGGTTATAGGATACAAGATCAATATACAAAAACCAGTTTTATTTCCATATACTATCAATGAGCAATCTGAAAGTGAAATTAAGAACACAGTTCCATCAAAAAGAATAAAATACTTAGAAATAAATT